AATCAATGAACATCCATGATCAGTTCTCAAACAAACAAACAGGAAATTTGGAAAGCTGCTCAATGCGGAATACAGATGTCCAGGTACAAACCCAGCAGCTCTGGCAAACACCAGGATCGCGTTCTGTTATAACTATTCACAATATGCAGGGGGGAATCCTACATATTATTTTACTTTTGTAAAAGCATCCGCAAAATCCTCCCTAGTGGACTTTAATAACTCATTTGAGATGAGATCAAAATCCATTGCTGAGCCTTGCTTGAACTATTTTGCAGACAGATCACAGAATCACAGAATCACTAAATTTCGAAAGGACCAACCATCAACCCGACACCACCATGCACCCTAAATCATGTCCTGAAGTGCCACATCCACATGTTTTTTGCATACATCCAGTGATGGTGACTCCACCACCTCCCTGGGCAGCCTGTTCCAGTGCTTGACCACCCTCTCGGTGAAGAAATTTTTCCCAATATCCAATCTGAACCTCCTCTGGCGCAACTTGAGGCCATTTCTTCTTGTCCTATCACTAGTTAGTTGGGAGAAGAGACCAACCCCCACCTCACCACAACCCCCTTTCAGGTAGTTGTAGAGAGCGATAAGGTCTCCCCTCAGCCTCCTCTTCTCCAGACTGAACAAGCCCAGTTCCCTCAGCAAGATACACTGCTTAAAGCTGCTGCGGGCCCCTGCCTCCGCGGCGGCAGAGCAGGCTCCCTGGGAAAAGGGGTGGAAGGAGCAATCTTTCTCCATGGTGACTCAGCTGGAGAGAAACTGGTGGGGCATCAGGGCAAACATTGAGAACTAGAGATGATCTTCCCCTCCTCGCTGCAGGATGTAGCATCAGGACCCATTGCTGGTCATGGCTGAAGGGGAAGGAGGCTGCCAGCAGCTTTAAAAAAGCAATTGCTTAAAAAAATAACTTTCCTAAGTATCAAATCTTGAAAGACAGGACAATCTTAGAAAGAATTGGTGGAGAAACCCTCCCCTCCCTTCATCTCTGAAATCAGTAAATGACAATCAGATTGTTTTAAGCCTGGATTGGGACTAACTTTTGGTCATTAAATTGAATCCAAGAGCCGCAACAGAGATCATGAATTTGTGATAATGGACTTCTGTAGAAAGATGACGTTAGTGCCCATTTAAGAGGGTTTTTCTGTGTATGCCACAGGCAATGAAACTTTGCTGTGACTTTTTTTCTGAGCATTCTTACTAATGAGTTGGGGACTTTACATCCCATTCCTGAGAGCTTTCTTGTGACAGCTTCTGTAGGGTACAGTCACTCCCCTCTGCCTTCAAAGCATGATCCATGAGCAAAGAAGCTGTTGACTGCAACACCTCCCATCTTCGAACGATGCTAAGCTCCAGATTGATGCCTTTCCTGAACTGACCACTGCAAGGGAATAATCCATCCCCTGTCAGCAGAGACTGGGACATGGCTCAGAATTAATTGGCTGAAGCTCAAACTAGATAAGCTTAAGATAATATTTATAGGTCTGAGGAAACAATTGAAAGGAACATCAAACATGACAGCAGCGTGCACAATCGGTGGCATTTATCTGCCCCTTCTTTTAAAACCCAACTCTCTCTGCCTGTCGCAGGACACGCCTGGTCGAAAGCAGTTTTCATAAACATGCGTTTTGGATGCGCCTCCGTCTCTGGCCAAGTTCAGACTCCTTGTTTAATCTGCTTTGTATGAAGAGGTTTTGATTGCATGAATGCTTGGAAAATATCTATTCTTTGTGAAAATATTTGCCTCTGCATCCTAGCAAAGAGGACTGTGCGTGATGCTGGTGCTGTCTACGCTACAGGTACACACAGTCTCTGCTTCTCCCTCACCTGAAAAGAGCTGTGGCCTGAGTGCCCACCACCCCAATTCATCTGCATAGAGAAGCTACACTTGCAGTGTAAAAGGGGGTTACTTTTAGCAGCATACCTGCTATTTGTAGGGAGGCCATAGGCGTACATTAATGCTTTTTGAGCAGTATATCCAAATTTCAGCAGACATTTAAGGCCTCTTTCCCAGGTGCCCTAAGCTGAAATGAGCCTGTATTTTGTGGTTTGATTACTCCTAAAGAAATCTGTTGCAGCATCGTTAATAAGACTTTATTGCAATGTATTTAAAAGCACTCTTTTACAGGTTTGCTACACTAGCACACTTCTTGGAGATGCAGAGAAGCCCATTATCAGACATGATCCTCTAGGGATTCTACATCCAGCAAAAATAGCTCTCAGTTTGTGGATTACTGTGTGTTTTGATGTTCAGGCTTTGCAAGACAGAATTTTCTTTAGTAATCCACAGTTGTCAGATGGAGCCTTTGCTGTTCCACAGGTCCAAATCAGTGTCAAAGGTCTTTCACGAGGCAGGGCAAGTACAAAAAAAAAAAAAAAACAACAAAAAAACCCCCAGCAGTAATATGCTTATACCCCCTCTGGGCTCACTTCCCACTTAGAAATACTGAATACTTGCAAATTTTGAGCTGGTTTTATGAATTATTCACAACAGAAAAAAGATTCTGAGTTGCATTTGTACAATGAGAAAACACAGATGATAGATGGTTTCACATGTCCAATGAAAAATCAACCATCGCAGCTTGAATTTTGAATACCGATACCAAACTGTTAATGAATAATTTGCAGATCAGGAATTTTTAAGTGAATAATTTTAAACAAATAAATTTGAGAAAATCAGACAAGTGGTTCATCTGCTTCTTTCGGAGCAGCTAATTTCCCCATTCACTGCTTTCGGCAGCTCAGTTGCAGTGATTTGGTTCTCAAAGGACCAAAAAGAAAATGTAAATTGAAGTAAAAAGTGTGCTGGAAAAATGATAGCATGTTACTCTGCCAATTCAGAGTGACAGGGTGTGTGAGGGATAGGGTAGAAGAGCATCTGTTAAACCCGCTAAAAATATAGTACCGGGTTCTCATCATCCGCATTGGGAAATGACTTTGAAGAAAAGAATGGAGCATGGGGAAAAGCTCTTTATTCATTGAGACCACTAAAGGGCAAGTGATTTCCTGGAGTCAATTAATAACTAAAACAACTCTGGGGGGGGGTGGGGGGCAACTTTTTGGCTAGATCAGGAGCCAGCAAAACCAACATTTACATGTGGGTTAAGAAAATAAAAACCTGTGGGTCAGTAAGAAGGCTCTGGGGTGGAACTGCTGGGGAGAAGCCTGCGGTCCCCGCTCCCCCAGAGGGCTGTTTTAGGCCATTTGTGCTCTGGATGTGTCCGGGGGAGCTGAAGCCCCTTTCCCCAGCCCACCTGGGGCTGCCTCTACAATATATCATTGTGCTCACAAACCCCACACTTAAAAAGCAAACATGTGCCTAAATTTTTGGGTTACATGCTGATCTTGCCTTCTCCTGTAGCTCCTCTTCCAAGGGAGCTTTTTGCACGGAGGACAGGATTTAGCTTAGCTTCTGTTTTACCCTCTTTGGTATTAATTAGGTGTCACAATATGAAGTATGTATTTCTAACAAGCGTGGAACTCATTTCAAACTGTTAATGATGCAGCAGAGCTCCAAACTGTTTCAGTGGACCCATCGTGAAGAAGAAGAAAGACCCCTACTTACAGCTGTGAGGATATTTAGCCCTCATCCAGCCCTTCTAGTCTTCAGAAGCTCATTAAAACAATAAGTCAAATAACAAATTCCCGGAAGCCCATATAAGATGAGTCCTGTTAGTCCCATCTCCCAACTGGAGAAACCAAGAAAGAAAAGCTATGTCCCTCGACCTTAACCACAGCGAGCGTAGTGTTCAGGGTTGGGCTATAACTTAGGAACTGGTGGTTTCCAGTTTTGTGGTTAGATAATTAAACCAGGCCTTCCTCTTCTATTGGAGCTAATATGTGAAAAATGAGTGCCTTCCCTTTAAGAGGTTTCCAAGCAGGTATGCAAAGAGGAATTTATGATCTACAATTTATGTAAAGAACTTCCTTTTCATAAATCAATTTATTAAAGTTCTGGAAAAGCTTCTGAAGGCTCTGATCCAGCAGTGCACTTAGACACGTCCGTAACTTCGAACAAGTAAATCGTCCCATTGAAGTGCTTTCCTGGACCGGGGCCAAGGAAAGTGCAGTTCTCCCCAAGTCAAGGTTCAGATGTAAAATGGGGAAAAATAATTTATCAGAAGTTTAATAAGTTACACAGTCATGGCAGAGCTCTGCCAGCCTTGCACATTAATATCTCAAGCTAATAAGAAATGGCCTTGGGAAGATAATTGCCTCCTTATTGATACGCTGTGATGAAATGTTAAAGCTCATCTGGAGGATGCGGTGTTGCTGGCCTTTCCATAATTTGGCAGATCCCACATCCAGGCAACATGAAACTTCGGAGGGGATGTGCCTGGTTCTAGCAACACTCCTGGGGCATGAGCTCCCTTTTGTTCAACTATTACTCGCTTTTAAGGATTATCACCGTAGGACAACTAAGCATTGCGATATTTCAAGGATTTGGAGTATTTTGTGAGGTTTTGTAACAGTGAAATCACTTCAGAAAGAGGACTATTCGCACCTTCTTCTGGACTCCTTCGGTGGTAAATACCTGGGAGACCGAACATACTGTTACGCACTCCTGGCAGCCTTGCCGGGAAACCACGCCAAGGACAGCTTCTCTAATCTGCTGAAAGACTTGTGTGTCGAGGTCATGTGTAGAGTGGTTGGAGGTAACTGGACCTTGTGCTAGCCAGGGGCGTGGGACGAGATGTGACATGCTAAAAGAAAGAGAGAATTCCTAGGGACGAGAAGGGAATGTGACTCAGATTAGCAGGGTGACAGCTCTACGTAACGACACAAAGCGCTCTTCTCCGCCCTGGCACGCTGATTCCTGGGGATGCACGGCTACGTATCAAGACATCCTTCAAGCTTTGCCTAGAGCTGTTACTCAGAATCAGAGTGACAGCTGTCATTTTGCAAACGCAAAGCTGCCAGACTTAACAGCCCCTTCTTATGCATTACAAAATCCAACACAAGAAGCATCGTAGTTCCAAAATTATACTTACATCTACAATTAGGAAGTCAAGCCAGCACCAGGCGTTGGTGAAATACTTCTTGAAGCCATAAGCCACCCATTTCAGGAGCATTTCCAAGACGAAGATGTAAGTGAATATTTTGTCAGCATATTCCAGCATGGTTTTTATGTTTTTTCGATCTTCAAGGTAAATATCCTCAAAAGCCTGGAAGTACAAAAAAATGATTAAAAACTTCTCCCAAGCTGTGTCGGAAAGCACCGGTGCTGCACTGCAAGTCTGTAGTATTATCTGATGGGCTATCATGTACTGTCTGGTTTCTGATATATTTTAACGTTACCATCAGCAGGAGTGCACGGGCACAAATAGGACTGACCCTAACCTAAGAGAGGTCTGTTCAGTTTTCCCTTATATTGGACACGTGCTTAGCTGTCTATCTCCAGCCTCTTCTGGCTGTGCTGACTAGACACCCTTTGGGTGTCAGAAAGAGCTTAAGCACCCCACGTTTGGGAACGTGCGTCTGTAAGCAGGGTGCCACCCCAAGCCGCCCCAGGGCACCCTGCCTCAGCTCCCCTCGGCTGTGCCGCTGCTATCGGGGTGCCTCAGGCGTCCCGGGGCGTCGGACGCCCGTCCTTAGGAGGCAGAACACGACCCGTACATTTAGTCAAATACGTCTTATTGCTAATGGTGACAAATCGGGTTATTAACCTGCCTGTGTTATAGAGTACCGGAGTTCTCTGGCTTCTGTTCAGACATCACATTTCTGGTAGCTACAGCTCTCCGCCTCAAGAAATGCTCATTATTATTCACTTAACAGAACAATTATGTTTTAAAGGTCAAGGTATCTATCCACCCATCTCATCTGTCTCTCCACTAATCTTATGCAGGGCATCATCAACGGACTTTCAGTATCTGTATCAAATACAAGCAACTTAATAACCCCTTTAAAATATTTAAGATATAAAACAATATGCCTACTAAAATAAAACAAATAAAGTGCTCTCATAACTTAGCTTTCATTTTACAATGTACGTCAGATAAAGTGCAGGATCCCAGTGTCAGGGTTGCGTATATACAGCCCGTTTTGGGGTTTCTGAGTCGAGCGGCGGCTACGGTCGGCTTCCCAGCTGCTCTAGAGACTGTCATCACACAAGGCGCTCCCGTGTCCCTGTAACCTGGATAACCCAAGCTTTGGTAGACTACCCTCATCCCGTCGTGTGACCCGGAGCACTCGGTGGCGAGAAAGATTATTTGAGAGAGTCTGTGCTAATCGTCTTAATCATCTGCATTTACATATTTCAAGATCTGTAGCTACTTTCTGAGGAGCTTCAAAAAGTTAGCAAACACCCAGCGCCTGGAGATACAAGAAGTGTGTTCCCTGTCACTCAGGCGGTCACACTGCTCTTTCGCCTGCCAGGGAACAGTAATTAAACTGACAAGAAAGCTTTGGCAGCCTGTGCCAGAGCTTGTCCATTTGTCCCCACGCTTTGGGGTGACGTTTTCACTGCAACTCCGTCTCCTATCTTGCCTTCAAAAATGATATTTCAAGGGCGTGAAAGAGCTGTTGGAGAAAGCCACAGAAAACAGTATATAGAGAGACTGGAGTTTATCACTTCTTGTAGGGGCTCACTCACTTTGTCAGATGACTTGCCGTACTTTGCAATTACGGCAAAAATAACAACAAACTATTTAAAGCGATTTCCTCCTCTCCCTCCTTTGCTCTCCCTGTTTTCTACTAACTTGTCAAAAAGTACATTGTGTTTTGCCTACTAAAAGCACACTGTGAGTCAGGAAGCAGCTTAATAAGGCATGAAAAATATGCTACCTGAATGCCTCAGGTGCACGGTACTTCTGCACGAGCTATGGAAATTACACAAATGACAAAACGCTGGTGCTTTGCATTTTTTCACGGTGACAAGGGATGAAATCTTTGCAATATAAAACGTCATTAAGGGTTATTTCTTCTGCTTTGCTTTGTGTGTTAAAAAAAGAGTTAAACAGGATACCTGCAGTGTTATCCACAATTACTATTAAAACACAGGCTCACAGTTTGGGTGCTCACAGCTTAAATGCATAATAAGCGTTTTTGCATGGTTTGCAGCAAGCTGTAGATATATTCTCATGGTTTAACTACCACACACAAATATATACTGGCTTTTAAACTCCCTTAAGAACTTAGCATGTCCCAGGGATGTAGCCAGATGAGCTCAGTCTTTGGAAGAGCTCACCTCAGAATAACAGAAGAAAAAAGTTGCGTGTTGCCTCCAACATCTCCAGTCCAAATACTGAAGCACAGTGCTGATATGTGAGAAAATGCAGCATAATTTTCTCCTATACAGAATTGCACTGGCTAAATTGAAAATCACAAAAAGTAAATGAATGCATGCAATGAAAATTAAATGAGATTTATATTGCAGTGTTCAGTGTCTAAGGCATTTTTAATTACATATGTAAGGAAGTGTATTCATCTAAAGTGTATTATAGCAAGCGACATGCCCCCTTTAAAATGTGTTAAAAAATTAACATGCTGATTCTCAAGCTGGTGCAAAAACTGTCAGACTCCATTGATTTCAGCAAAGCTATGACGATTTTCAGCAGCCTACTATTTACCCAAGGTTTTCAGCCTCTTACTTTTCATAATAAAATAAAATCCCCTGGGTGAAATTTCAGCCCATCCCTGGTGGACCTGGAGAACAGTCCATTCCTTTCCTTTTTGCATCAACATTTATGCATTTCCACCTTCTTGCCTCCCTGCAGAGACCTCCTTTAAACTACACAAACCCAGTACTTCTGTGTTTTCCTCTTTTTTTAGGCCACTGATAATTTGTGTTGCTCTCCTCTGGAGTTTCTTCAATTAGCCCATGTCTTTCCCAAAGTGCACTGCCCAGAGCTGAAGCCAGTGCTCCAGCTGAGGCCTCCTTGATGCCAACTGGAGTGGAAGAACATCCTTATTTATACAACCCAGTGGGGTGTTCGTTTTTTGTGCGACGCTGTGATGTAGTTTACTCTATCCTGTTTGTTGCCGGTTCTTTCTCCAGCCCTTTTTAGTAAATCTGCTACCTTACCAGTCATCCTGCATCATGCCTTTCTGCCCGTGATTATTCCTGAAGAGGTGAAGAAGCCATCTTTCTAATTATGATGTTCTTACTATTTATGGCAGATTCATCCATCTGGCTGAAGTTAATCCTGACCTCCAGAAATACATGGATAACCTGTCCAAACATGGCACTGCCTCCAAACTTAGTAGGTTTATTTCTTACTCCATCGTGGAGGAGAAGATCAGCGACCACCAGACCAAAGCCTGAAGAACTCTTGATATACCCCTTTGCTCTACACCTGGATAAAACCTTGGGAGAAGTCCCACCAAATTCAGTGATATTCCTGACATGTAAACGAGCAACATAAATATGTGCTGCCATTGCCATGAGGAGCCCAAGGCTGATAACAGAGAGGATAATCCCAGTACGCTGTGGGATCTCAGGAGGACAGGATCCCTTACCAGATCCCAGAGTTCTGGGCAATGACCAAGCAGCCTCCATACGTACCCATGTATTCAGGTGCAAGCAGCAGCTATCTGTGCAGGTTTAAGCCAAGGTGTATTCAAAACTCAATAGGCACCCGCTAGCTCTGTGGGTAGCACTGATTCAAGCCCCCTGCGATTTTATGATTTTGCTTTGCTGGTTACAAAAAGTGTTTAAATAAAAGGGAAAAAAAAGCCATCCCCAGAGCAAAATACCTCCAGATGGTAACTACCATGGAGCAGTTAGGGGATGCTGAAGTAGTATTTTGCGCTACTTCCTCACATAAGACTTACTCAAGGATTTACCTTTCAAAACATCTACTCATCGTAATTTTACATTATAACAGAAGAAAGTTCCCCACCATATGGTAAAGGGAGGTGAAATCAGAAAAGCAGAAGACCGTTTTACTCCGAAATATGCTTTGCTTTGAGAAATGAGCAGTAAGGGCTGCTAAGATCTTAGCGACAGCTAACTGGAGAAATCTTCTGTAAGACCCATGTCCACTTTCCACCAGCTAGGAAATCCTGTTACACTTACCAGGGCTCCACTGCTCAGCAGGATCATGAATATGATGAAGGTTTCAAACCAGTTGTGTTCGACGATTCTGTAGCAGGTTTTCCGCAGCCTCCACCAAATTTTGCCGGGGAATTTTGTGATGTCCACTGAACAGCATGGGAAGAATCTCACACAAACTGAAAAGGAGCAAAATGAAACCAAAGCAATTGTTAAAAAAGTCCATTTATTTCTTAAAGCTGCAACAAGGAGCTGCTAAACAAGATTTTTTCTAGCAATAAGCTGCTGCATGGAGTCTTTCCTCCCTTGTTTTTTTCACCAACCTCTTCTGCTCTGCCTTCTGTTTCCCCTATCACTCCTCTATTCAAAAACATTCAAAATCATTTTAAGCATACCCCAGTGATTTCTCCCAATTATTTTTACGATACAGAATATATTGACCATGAGTCACTAGTGCCCTAGGTCAATCACACCGTGTGAGCTGAGCTCAGGCAGTGCCCCTCATCACGACTGATGACTTTAGCAGGTTATTACCTATAGTTTCTACATCCTTTTGAATGGAGGGAGGATATTATCTTGGTACTATGATACCACTGGAATTACTGATTAAAAGTGGCAATCTCATGGAAGGGAGATGAGGAGAGGAGGTGCTGCAGTGCAAATGGGCCCAATGTGCCGAAGAGGCTCAGACAGGAAAAGCAGGAGCAGATGTTAATCTCCTGTACTCTCATGAGCTTAAGCAAGACATTAGACCAACATTGGAAAGGTGTTTATGCGGTTAAAACCCCTTTGATGTCAGCAGAAATTTAGGTATCCAGTGTCTGTCCACAGAGGGTTACCCACTGGTGCTTCACAGAACTTTCTGACCTTAGAGAGAAATACTGTGTGATAGTTGAACATTGTGGTGGTAATGGGGACCACACATGGATCTCTGATAGGCAAAACCATGGCCATTTTTAGCCATCTTAGCAATATTAATTCGTTATAGCAAAAGGATATTGTCATTGGTAATGGGCAGATCCATCTTTCCCATTTGAAAAAGCACCATGTGCATTGCTTTGTGCTGGGTAAGAACATAAAATTGTGAGAGGACACCCTGGTATCCACGACTTGTCCCTCTCTGTTCAGCCTGACGTCGGATAACTTGACTCAAATTTCACAACGTTTGCTGATAGGATGACCCTTGGAAACCACTGTATTTCCAAAAAGCAAGCTTTTTTCCCTACATTTAATCCATGTGTTGTATAGAAAGAGACTTGGTTATGGAGCTTTATCAGTCCCATCACGAGAAAAAAAATCACAGGCCAACTGCTTCCATAGCTATCTGAAAGGTGGCCAAGGTTGCTAACAAGTCTTGAAGCATGCAACAACTGCTCAGAAGTGACAAGAGAGGACATCTCACTATGGCGATGTAATGAAACGTTATTGCAAGTAGAAATAATATTTAGGCAAGGAAACTGGGGAAGGAAAGAGGGTGAGTGCCAAGGTTACACAGACGCAATGCTGCTAATTCAAGGTGGCATAACTGAGGCGCCTGAGCTGCATGTGATACGTGAGGAGATCAAGTGCAACTCCTGGGATGCCGGGATTCCCAAGTAGCTGGAAGGGGGGCTGCACTGGCAGCAGGCTCTGCCAGGAGGAGCTAAGTCTGCTAAGTCTGCTGTGGTCCTCCTGGCATTTTCTGCAAGTGTTTACTAGCCCAGATCTCTGCTGTGGAGCAGCAGAACTATAGGATGTCACCATCACGTTTCACACACGAACCACTCCCAGAGCTCCTCTCTCCCTCACATGTTTGCGGTGGCCGGTAGGTGTAGGCTCTTGGCTCTATGAAGTTTTGATATGAGACTAACAGGGTAGTAAACCATTTATACAAAGTTAATGGGGCAGCGATGCAAATAACTACCTGTCTCTAAATGCCTCCATCACACAGACACACCAGTTCCCAATTTACCATTGTACTCTGGAATTCATCGAAATTCTGGGCTCAGCAAAATACACTCAAACTATTTGAGAAGAACATAATATTAGGAGAAGACAAAAGTGTAAGAACCAGCTCTCTGCCTCTTTGTAGGTCAGCTACCTCTCCAGCAAAGGAAAGTTTTATCCCTCTAAGTACTTCAGTCCTAAACACCAAAGAATCATGTCAAGGGATAAAAGGATATCATGTTAGTCACTATTTTTTGCTAAAGAGTAGCAAATCATTTTTGCTCAGAGACAGCAATGTGTGTGATTTGGGTATATTTTAGAAAGTAGGTACATGGAACAGATTTCAGGCATGCAATAGTGCATGGTACCAGGATCCCTGAGCTAACGTACTCGTACGGCAGCTCTACTTAGTGATGCCCATGCAGTAGAGTGCCACCAACATGACATGACGGAGGTGTCTGTTAGATGCATCTCTCAACAGCGCTGCCAGAACTGTTAAGAGAACTGCTCTTACACTACTTCTCACCCCACAACCTGTGGGTCATTACCAGGTTTCAGGTGTCTGGTCCACATTCTGTGCTGTTATGTTACTGTCCATCTCATTGTCAACTCAGATTTGGACCAGGGCTCAGATTCCCCGTTCTTCAAGTGAACAGCCTAATGAGCAGACTCTTCACTATGTAAGTGGGAATTTCTTATGTTAAGCAGAAAAAACCTTTTTACTGGAGGTACCCATTGCTTCCAGCAGAATAAACTTTCCATGAGCCTACCTTCTTCCCATAAACAGTTTCAATCTGGAAAAAATCAGCATTTTTCAGACTGAAAACATTTGTCCAGAAATATTTGTCCACTCCTCTTTTCTCCTAAGTTACTTCCTAGATGGATACTTTGCTTTATAGTCTCTTATATGAATGCCTAAGCTTAGCTAGTAACAGGCATGATGTGTTCTCATGCTCTAAAAGAGTAGAAATGCTCTGCAAGTACCATTGGGAAAGGTTAGGATCTTCCAGGAGTTGGTTTTCCCCGCCATGTGATAATTGGATGAATCGTTCCCTGGAGGAGTCTGTCTCTGTCCTTCCACTTCACAGGGAGCCTACATGATTCTCTAAGCCCAGGCATGGTTAAATTAGGGGATCATCTTCAAATTAAATACTAATGAGCAGGGCACTGTGAGATCTAAAATTGCTTCATTTGTGGTGGAAAATACTTACAAAATGGTAAAAACAGGCTATTGCTGATTCAGTCAGCTTCCATCTGATAATCTACAGGCACAGAGAGATATTTTTAAAGACAGAAAGCCAGCTAGGACCACTAATCTTTTTTTTTTTTTTATCCTCTTTGATGGCTTTCATGCAATTCTGATCTGAAAAAAAGTCCTAGTTACTGACAGTAATACCTTGAAAAATCCAAAATAGCTTCTCAGATGAGTCAGCCCAAAATCACAGCACTATTAAATCCCATGTGTTTGATTGGGCTCAATTCAGAAATGTTTAAACCAGATTCTGATACAATTACTAATGTCAAGTATTCACTTCTGTGAATAATCATACTGGCTGTATTTCAGATGAAATGCTATTTTTAACTATTCATAAATCAAAGGGGAAAAAAAAGAAAATCAAAATAAAAAAAACTGACCACAAACAGATCTTTTGGTGAATTAGTAACATTCTATTTCCATCTCAAATTTCCTGATTTCCCTCACTGACTGCTATTTCATGTCTCTGCTTTTCTGGACTCTCTCGTAATGCTGGTAGCCTACTGTTCTGGTGACTGTGACCCAAGCTTAAATGCTGAATTAGAAGCTTCACATAACCCAACAAAAAAGTTTACCTGACCTTGGTCAGTATTCCAACAGGGTTTTTTTCCCCCATTTCTATGAAATCAAAACATCAAAACCATTCCAGTGTGTCTAAGGCATGACCTGGTGAGAGTCTGAGCAACCATAACTCCAGTTGAGTTCTACAAGAAGACAGGTGGTCAGCAGAGCCCAGCTTCAGGTTTTGAAAGCTATTTACTTTATCCACACAGAGACAACGATTCATTAACACTTTTTAGCACAGCAATGGAGCAAGGCAGGAATAAACCCTTTGGCGTTTCTTATAACAGCATTACTCATACTGCCTTGTCTAACACATTTGTGCTATGCCCCTGAAATCAATGCTGGTAGGGAACGGGTTGTGCAGAAGCAGCTGACCACCTTGTGATTTAGTCAGGATTTGGTTTAGTCACCCTGATTCATGTTGGGCTACAACTTTTTTGAGAGCAAACGGACTCATTTGCACCATGGCCTTTTGGGTAGTAGGCTACTTCTCAGCAGAAACACAGAATAGCAGGGAACGTTCCCCCAAAGGGTCGAGTTAGCTGCTGGTAAATCAATGAAGCTGTACTGAGCTGCATCAGTGGTCAACTTGTCCAAGAACAACATCTGTTTTCAATTCACATTATAAATAATTTCTCATGAAACAGAGACCTATTTACCAAGAAACCCTTCCAAATGCATCGGTATGCCATGATAGTATTTAGTTTTTGTTTGTTTTTCATGACAAGGGAATTGTTCCCATTAGTCACTATGGTGTCTTATGACACAATCACAAACTGCAGATTAAAACGTGTCCTAAACTGCAGTCGTTGCTGCAGGTGTGACAGAGAAAGCTCTTATTTAAGCATCTGCCACAATGATAAACAAGTTACCAGGAAAAAAAAGGAAAAAAAAAGTAAAGTGTGGGAGCTATACTGCAAAAACTTTCTCTTGCGTGCAAGACAGCCAAGCCTATTGATTTCAGACTTACGAGTAAAACTTTCACAAATCTACTGTTTGTTCACACCCACAAATACATTTAAATTTACATAAAATTATTAGATATGTTTTGGCTGGATTTTCCTGCTGATTCTCTTCAGTAAACCAGGATGGCCAACTGATTTCTTCTATACTGTGGTCCAGTATGTCTGGTACCTTGTGTTCAAACCGCAGTAATTTTGTAGCTGCTTTCACACAGGAGTTCCCAAGTATCGGGGCATTCATTTTTAGAACAAAACAATATTTTGCTTAGCTTTGAATGCTGGTTACAGCGCTGCTTGGTTTGACACAAAGAAAATACAGCTTCCTCAGCATAAACTCAAGCAGACAGGTATTCATAACATGGTTTTAATATATATATCTGCCAGGCTGGGTTTCTAATGACCAGTCTGGCTAGCTGCGTATGCCCAAGCAAGAAAACAAGCCTTGATGTAGACCCCAGCTGTCTCCCCATGCGTGGAGGGAACATGATCTCTGTAGACCCTCCTTGTTTAACCCCTTTCTCGTCTTCTGGCCCCACTAACGCGCTGGCGTGCATGGCTGGGTTTTACACTGTGCAGCTCTAGGGCTAACACAGAGGAGAACTGCCACCACCGCCGCCAGCATTTCGGTACCTGAGACACATATGGAGCTTTGGGTCTTTTCTTGTGTAGTACAACTGGGTGCTGCCAAGAGAGCATCTGACAAAGCCGCAGTCTGCCAGGTGATTTCACTCTTCCAAGGGCTTTACAAGGGTACATTTCTTGTTTATCTGCTGCTACTCTCCTCAAAACGTATCCTCTCAGAGGTCACTACAAATAACGGTGTGACACCTTGAAGCAAAGGCAGTGGGCAGCCTGTTCCACCGCCAGTGTCAGCCCTGCTTTGCGCAAGGGGGTGGACGAGCTGAAATCTAGAGGTCCTGTCGCTGCCATAGGGCTGTAAGAGTTTTATGATGTCTGAAAACTGGATACAAGAAAATACTAGCACGCCCTTCTTGATGGAAGAAAATGCTGTTGTTCAGATACTATGGCTAGAGGAAAAAGATACTTCAAAACTTGATTTTGTTCTGTGATTTTTTTCCCTAGAATGAAAGTTAACATGTTTTGTTGGACTTGGTTTGGTTTTACTCAGCTTTTAAGCATCACCTGGTGGTAGCCCCCATAGCTCAGTTTAGATTTGTTCAGCTTAACGGTCTGTTTGTTCTCCTCTCCACTTTTTTATTTCTAAACAGCCACTAACTCTGGTTGGGGAGGGCATGACGCAGATCCCACCATTAATCAGAGTAACTTCACTTAGTGCATGGCATTTTCCAGCCGCGATAATTGCTCCTACATGGTCACATGAAAAACTGTTTGTGGGCGTCCTCGCTGTCACGAGTTGCGATCAACCGCGTGTTGAGCCAGGTAGCTCATTCTCGCACGACCATCTGATGATACTCCTTTGAAACCTTTGCCAGCGGGCTGTGTCCGGGGAATTACGCTTGAGGGCTTGGTGAAAACTTTCTCCTATTAGGGTCTGGGAGAGAGGAGCGTGCTGGGGCCGGGGGGCTCTCTTTGGATGGCCTTCCATGAGACACAGAAGAGAATGTCCAAACAGACAGCAATTTTTGATGCGAACACATACCAATGGAGGTAACAGGATTGGAGTGTTGCAAGGCATCTGGAGGAAAAAATACCCAAATAGCTGGCATTGCCTAGATGTTGCTTTCCCATCAACTGGCAACAAGAATGATGTCTCTATTTCTATCAGGTGTTTCCCAGCAGAACTTGCTAGCTGCCAGAGCTGTGACCCTACCTTGGCTTCACATTTCCTGACCCAAGAATATTCCCCGTTGACCCTAAGCAAAGCTATTTTGAGATGATAACGAATCAACAAGTGCCCCCCAATAAAAACGACCTATGGCTAATCTAGGTCACCTAACTCCGGGAAAACTGTGACCTCAGCAAACTTTCAGCAACTATTTCAAGAACATGCATTATCTTCATTGCCTTTGTTATCTGAAAAAGGGGGCTGAATCTGGAACATATTTGTTCAGGACACAACCTATGGTGGATGTATTTAGAAATGCCATAGTTTGAATTTAGATAGCTGGTGAGCTAACAAGGTAAGAACTTAACCCTTCCCTCTGCCCTTCCTCTTCATCTCACCTAATCTCTTTCTTTCACAAGTATTAGCTCTCCATTCTCCCAAATATACCAAATATTGTTGTATCTCTCTATTACAAGCCAGTAAAGGCAATACTATATAAATTTGCCTAGTGCTTGCCCTTCAGTAATTCCATTTTAGTCCTTTATAACCTTGCCATATCTCAGCTAACTAGACTGTTGTTTGTTTGCTTGCTTATTTTTTAACTCGACTGAAATGATAACTGCATGAGGTTTAATCACAAAGGGAAGTTTGGGTAAAAATATTGGAAGTTATTTAGAAGAAGAAGATTAAAGGAAAACACTTTGTTTCCCCGTGTAAATAAAAACAAATGTTAATGTCATTGCAGTAAGAATCATTAGGACTTTCAGTTTATGGCACTTGGACTTGAAATTTGATGAGGGAACATTCACGTATCAAGTTTATGCATTTTCGCCAAATCCATGAGGAATGTGATCACATTTAGCCTACTCAGTATCCTCTGCAAAATCTGCATGGGTATGTGCTGCACAGGAAAGCAGAGCAGATGTGTTGGGGAGGACATCGCCTGCAACCGCGTCCCCAGTGCCCCCGACCGCCGTGCGCTGGGCCAAGGGCTGGGAGCAGGTTCTCCTTCAACTGCCGTTCAGAGCTCGAGGCTCGGCTGGCCGTACGCTGGGAGAAGAGAACAACACCCTGACTTGAACAGGGACCGGTGAGGAACTAGGAGAGTTGAGGACTAAAAGGAAAAAGGCAGGAGCAGGGACGCTGAGGGGGAAGGGAGAAGGAGCCAGCAGGGTGGATGCAACCCAGGGCAACCTTGGGGTTCAGCCCACATTGCCTTCACTTCTACACTTCTCTGCTGTCAGGATGACAAGTAGGCTTCAAAATTGGCTTAATGCTTCCAGTGAGTCATCTAGAAGAGCACCGCTTGCCACTGCTACCCCGCACCCCATTGATAGCAACGGAGAAGATCGGACAAACTGGGTTGGTACTGATGTGGTCTTGAACGTTGGAGTTTCGGGCAGCTCTGGTTATTTTAAGACAGAGGGAATTACAGAGTGCTACTGCTGTGGGAATGAATCAGGGCTGTGCGCTGAATGAAGTGATGGGTTGTGTGATGTCCATCTTATTTCTTTTAAAAACTGGAAGGCAATCATGGACAACCACAGTTTTAGAATTTGTAAACTGGCATCTGACTAGCACCGGTCTTGTGACACTGGCTTGTTTAAGCAATTATAATATAATTTGTCTCTTTGCAGTGCACAGCATAGATTGCTGCTCACTAGGCTCATTAAGAAATATGTTGTGAAAGAATGAAAACACCAGATGTAATTTCTAAATGTTATTGTATGGGCCAGATTAGTTACAGCATAGTACCATGCTTTCTTCCATCAGCTGCATTAATTTTTGGCTACTGCTTTTAAGCAGAGGAGCTGCCAAAAAAATATTTAGATTCTAGGGACATTTGTAAGCCCTGCAGGGCTCCGTTACCTCATTCAATCATCTTTCTCACACATATAGAGATGCACATTTTTGCTGACTTCAGGGGCATTCATATATCCAGCAAATCATCTCCAATCCCATCTCAGCAGCTCTGTTTTTATTTATAACAATCCTTGAATTTTCAAGGGAATACACTAACATTCAGCTAACCCTATTTTTCCTAACCCAGATTTAAAGAAAAATGAGGAATCTGACAGAGATAATGTTTGGAATAGAACTTATTCTAAGAAGAAATCATTTAGGACGTTTTTTGCCTTATAAATTTAAAGTAGATCTTCTGATATATCTGGGTTTTAAACCTGTGTTTTGGAGCAGACTGTTTTAAAAAATTAATAAAATGCTGGGTTATTCAGGTATTAAAAGCAGTTATGTAAATGTGAATTGTTGTCAAAAATAATTAAGTAAAATACCTTATACATAGCACATCCATGATCAGATGAAAGTTACTGGACATGCTTAACTTAACACCCTTTAAAATAAATGGAAGAGAATCCCTGGGACTCATGAACTCTCCAGACGATTTCTGTTAACCGCCTATATATGTTTAACCAACAGAAACATCCTGATCTGGTTAGTTCGCTACCGAATTTGATCATACACGCATATTGGGAGGCAAAAAAATCTTCATTACCCAAGTTAGAAAAATCAACATATGAAAACACTCCTCTATGGCACAAACCATGATGGAAAAAGCCCAGCAAGCTAGAAGTTGCACAGCCATTTAGAGCATGCTTTTGGCTTCTCTCTCCTTGGAAACCCAAAGACTAATGTTAACAAGTGATTCCGAGAGCGTGTTTGGAGCATTACGGTATCTAAGAAATGAAGTGCATCCAGTGAAATACTATTGCAAGCAGCCAGAGCAACGTGGTGTGAAGGTGGAGAGATGTTCACTAAGAGAAGAGGAGGTTTCTCGCCTCAGCATTGCAGGGAAATATGCAGGCCCTTACCTTCGGGGAAGCAATCTTCAGGCTCCATCAGCTCCTCAGCAAACTCAGGGATCTGCTCCAGCAGTTCTGCAGGATTTGTCAAATCCACTGTGCTGCCTTCAGAAAGACTGATTTCATCAAGCTTGTTGTCAACAAGAGCAAAGATGAGGAAAACAAATTGATCAATCGCCCCAGAGGAAGTAGCTGAGCTTTTATTCCACTAACCGATACCCCAGAGCGACCGCGACGGGGATGTCACCATGCGCGTCACGTGGTGCCCACTCTGCGCGTGGCAGCTCTGCCTGCGCTGCGGTGAGCTAGCAGCTGACCCGTCAACAGAACAACAACAAAAAGTTAACACGTAAAACTTAACTTTTTAAAATAAAAGAGAAGCGCACTGTAGAAAGAGTGAACGGCCATTGAACATTAATGGTAGGTGGGAGCGTGGAATGACAGAACTGCTCGTGATTTTAAGGCTTGTATGTCCTAAAGGCTCATACCTTTAAATGGGGGGACAAGAAGTGGGACCTAGCTCCTGAAATGATGAAGGATGAACTTGATAACCTGTGCTGGGTGCCTGTCTCTGGGGCCTCATTCCTGAGGTTCCTTCACCCACAGCGGATGGGTGAAATCTGCATCTTCTCAGTCAGGACCATGCTCTGCTCCCTGCTGCCACAGCTTCTCTTCCCAGATGAGCAGAATTCCTTCTGACACCAGGGTCCGGTCACGCGATGCCCCAGGCACACGTGTGTAAGAGGGCTCTTCCACCCACCTCATCCCAAGGCTAACTTATTCCCACCACGTGATGTGGCCCCGTGTCTTTGGTCACACACGTCGGAGCTTAAGATGGTGTAGGAGGATGGACACATGGCTTCTGAAAGCCTTTCAGAGGCTCTCTCACTTGCCTGAAATACTTGACACCACCATCTTAGGTGCACTGTTTAAATTCAGCGTTTCTCAAATCCTCCACTGCAAATGGGGACAAGAATATTCCTGATCCCTGAAGCATTGGTTGTGTTACCTATTTAGAGTAGGAACTCTCAAGTAGATCTGAGTAAAAATTCCTGGGGAATATATTATTTTAAAAAATTGGTTTAGGGGCTATGCAAGAAATTGGGTTAAATACAGCAAAAGAATTTGATAAAAATCTTAAGTTGTAGCTGGAATTTTGGTTGAAGTTGCTATTGAAAGAGATATGATACATGATTAAATAAGTCACCCAAATATGAAATAGAACTTTCATTTCAGGTCAAAACTTTCTTTTAACGTTTTCTTTAGAAGAAAGCAGGATTTTTTTCCCCATATTTTATTTTACCAGTCAAAGTAAAATATTTCCATTTTGTGTTAATCTAAAATTATATTTTTCTTAATTATTCAACTTGGCCACTAAAGTGAAAGATCTAATATTTGCCCAGACCTGCTCACTGTTTGTTTCTGGTACAAGTGGCACAGAGCACTATCTTGTACAAATGGGCAACATCAAAGCTGGTATCTTCTGTGTGTAATAGCAATGCAAAAAAGCTATAAGCAGGAGTCAGGACAGGTGGGTTTTTTGTGAATTGTCCTATTATGTTCTCTGAGTACCTACTGAAGAATTTTTGTGCTTTATCTTGCAGTTCTCTTGTCTCTACTTAAAAAAATGAGGACAATACTTACCCATGCTTTTAAACAACCTGTGAGATAGTTATATGAGAGATGGTATGTACACATACAATATTATTTTCATGAAGTTGATAGTGATGGAGTTAGAGAATAGGTACAGCTTTAATATATTTATTATTAATGTGAAAATGGGCCCTCTGTTTTCCAGTATACACAGTCAATGCAAAATTTATAGCTGAATTCAGAGAAATGCTGAACCTGGGGTAAAATGGTCAAGATTGAACATTCCAGCAATGCTTGCAAGCGGGGATGGAAGCTACTTGTTTGCAATTAGCTGCATCATCCAGAAGGTCATAGTCTTGACTAGGGTTTTTAATGCTCTACTCAAAAGGACTGCAAACGATTGAGAAGAGACCTTTTAAAGAGAGTTAGAACAGAAAGCATAGGTCAAAGACATGAATAAAGCTTCTAAAAAAATCCATATTCAGAATGCAGCTGTTGTACAGAGCCCATTTTCTACAGACTACCAATGGTATATGATGGTGGAAAAAATGTCATACCAAGTTTTAGCACAGTCAGAACTTTCTGATACTGTTCATTAGGGAATGCATTTAATCATTATCTGTTCTGTTATGAAGATGTCAAAACACAGATCACTGAAATAGTCCTAAATCATATACAGCTGTAGGATGCAGAGAATAGGAGTTCCAATGAGAAAAGCCTTGTTGGATGTAATTCTTACCAATAGACAAAAATCAAAGAAAACTATGAGAACAATGTCAGCTCGATAGCATTGTCAATGAGCGCGCTGTACTTAGCGGAGACAGGTCAGAAATTCACAAAACACAATACGGTGCAATTATAATAGACTACAAGGAAAACATCTTAAAGAATCAAGAATTCTCGAGAGTTGTTTGTCAGGAGTTTTCAGAAAATATTAGAATCCATCAGCACCAAAGGGAGATGGGGAACATGCAAGACAAAACAGACAGGTTTTCTTCCGAAAAGCCGTCAAAGAAGGAGAGGCAGAAAACACTAGGCAAAGGTTTGAGGATCCAAAATGGGACTAGAAAAAGAAGGAACCAGAAGAAAAAGAAGGAAGAGAGGAGGGAAAGATTAGGCAAGCTTGTAGGAAAAGCAGCAAAGTTTACTCTTTGTCGGAAAGGTTAAAGGGATTAAGAAGGTTTTCATGTACTCAGTAATGGAAAGAAAAGAGCTAGAGACATAGTAACAGTTGATGAGGGAGACGTAACTAATGAAAATTCAGTTGCCTAAGAAAATAAACTCTTGAAGGAACTCAACAAGGGGATCAATAAAAGAGGAGGGAGAGCCTGTAATGTAAGTAGAGAAATATTTAGAAAGCCTGAAACATATGCAAACCAGCAGACCCAGACAAAGCACCTTGTAGGGCATAAAGGGATCCAATACACCGAGTTAACACACCGTTAGCAATCAATGGTGAACGCTCATGGAAAACTGGAAACAGCTCAGGAGAGCGGCAATAAGTAAACACAACACTGAGCTTAGAGAAGAGGGAAAGCGAATAGTCATGGGAATCACAGATCACTAAACAGTTGCTGTAGCCTGTGATTGAGATAAATTAAATAAAGACTCGGAGGAGAAAAGGAGAGTGCTTTCTCAGAGTGAAATGTCATAGCGATTAAAGGCGTGAGGTGGTTCTCCAGTATGCTGAGGGTACTGTGCACAAACGGGGTGCAAAGAGGCCAAAAGAAGGCAAAAAGGAAAAATACAGAATGTCCTCTCTCTTTCTTGGAATAAGTGAGCGGAGGAGGTTACCAGGCAGAGACAACAGGATCCACCAGAAACCCTTTAGGGAGACCTCCCACCAGTGCACAAATTCATGCTGCAGATGATAGTTTTTAATGTGTTTCTGGGTGGAGTGGCTGTTTTAAGCACCCAGACAGGGCTTCCACACCCACCTCGTGTGTCTGTAATAGTGGCAAATTGATCTGAATGGGTTTTTCAAAAAGCCCTTAGCAGAGAGATGCTGGAATCTTATTGAAGGTTGATGTTTGCTAAAAGCTTAACTCTCTTATCTCCCTTCCTCTCTCCCTCACCTCTGAAGATCACAGCCTTAATCTACCAAACTGACATATGATATACAAACCTTAAGAAAATATCTGGATGACTATGATAGAAAAGTCTACTTTTGAAATAAATTGTAATTGGCTTGGATTCACCCATTGCTGCGTGGAGAAAAGCCATCCTAAGGACCCAAATATAACACAAACTTCGTCTTCAGAGGAGGAGATCTGTAGGGATTAGAGTCAGCATTATCTTCACTGAAGATATAGGAGAGGTGCTGCCTGATATAATCCTCATGTTAGCTGATAACATTAAATCGGAGAGAGTATTGAAACTGAGGAAGCAGAAAGGAAAAGAGAAGTGAAAGATGGACAGAACATAGCAAAATGAGACTTGACTCAAAACAGTACAAAGGAGCGAGAGTTCGGGGAAAATTTCAATGGAAATTCTGGAAATCTGTAACCTCAAGTCACCTGGAGTAGTAATAAAAAATTAGACGTGATTTTGCAGTGGGGTATAACAATGCAGAAAACCTATACGAAAGCATCATGTCTAGATAATGAATTACTTTTCCTCTCTTTATTGTTCTGTGGAAGTTGTATTCGGAATATTGTGCTTACTTCTTGGGAAAACAACTCCAGAAAGGAACAATTGAGGGAGTTGCAGAGAAAGAGGTTAAAAAAGTCAGTTAAAGGACACAGAGATACTAATTTACAAGAAATAATGAAATGAAAGAATTGTGTGTGACTTTAGGGGGTAAGTCAAAGACAAAAGGAAACTAACAACAGCCTATTAAATTAAGTTATATTAATTCATAAAAAAAGAATGACATATAAAATTGGTAAAAGACAGTAGTGAAATGGTACTTTGAAAGGAAAAAAAAGGGGGGCAGGGCTGGTTATTAAGGCATATACCCAGCCATGAGATTTTTTTCTAAGTGAATGGTTCGCTTTGGTAAATGAAGAAATCTAAGCTGCCTGATACATTTAAAGGTAGATTCCACAAAGCTGTACAAATTATTGTACGGGGCACTCCTTTGGCAGAGAAATCAACCAGTTCGTTCTCTGAGGTCTTATCCACCTGTGACTTCAATCATTTTATTTCTATGGTGTCTTTCTGATGATTTATATAGGATGAATTTTTAATCATGTAATGTATCCTTTACTGACAGAGCGCACTCGGAACACATTCAGTGCTTCCTGTTATTGACTGAATCACTCAAAGCCCTGCCTCTTGAGCATACCAAATCTGTTAAGTTACTTCCTCGCAGTTGCTGGCTTTATTTGGCTAGTCGCAAGTTCTTGGGACATTCATCAAAAAGATGATTAGCATGTCCTTATGAGCCGGCACAAAGATTACTTCTGAATAGGAGGACTGTAAGTATGTAATGTCCATGCAAGATCTGGTCTTCAAAAATAGCATCCTTTAGGCTTTGCTCTTTCATGTTGGCATTCATAGCCTCATGTGAACTTCCGTTTGATTTCAAGTCATCCCTGGATTATTGCCATAGTCCTCCACCTCTTTCTAAGCAGCTGCAAATAGAATCAATCATGCTCTACTATAGAAAGGTGACATTTGTGTCCCAGGACCCTTTGAAAGTCGAGGGAGGAAATGGGGATTATTTCTTTATCACGATGTTGCTGAATATATCAGGGCTAGAATGTTCCTGTTTTATCATGACATTTCATTATAGCACTAAGAAAGGACATCGTTTTCCAGCCTCCATGTTAGGATCACAGGGTTTATTTATCTCAAAACTACATTTAAACATGAAGGATACCTAATCCCCTGACTGAAAAAATCCTGAAACCACCTTCTAATTCCTCCTAGCTATAATGCTACATCTGATCATTTTAAAGTTTTGGGTTGCTTTGGTAAATATATATGTACATCTTTTTCCTGAGACTGGGTTATCAAATATTTGAGTCTCCTTCCTCTAAAATTCAGGACCTTTTCTTTCTGAAGATGAGTTCAATATGCCAAGAAGTATTCTGGCAAGGAGGATTGCTCCTTGAAGAAATGCTTCATAGCTAGAGGATTTCTGGCTACTGTGAGTGGAATTTAGCTCACCTAAACGTACAACTCCTCTAGTTACCCTGGGCTCCCTTTATAGTCTGTGGAGAGAAACAGGGACTTTTAGAAGATGATTCATCTGACCTAATTTAAATGTTGGTTTCAGTCGGAGATGAGACACATTTACCTAACTACATCGGCTCCAGATCCTCATTGACTATAAAGGGGCCTCAGATGACAAGTTCAGATGCAGATGTCTACATTTAGTTTAGTAAATTCCACCCCAAATGACAACATGAATCAGCAGGTCTGGAGAAGGTGAGCTCTGGCTCTGTGACGGTCTGTTTCCTGTTGTCCTGTCAAGATTTCTCCATGGGATTGCTCCTTCTGGGCATAAATTTGCCGGCAGTTTTATAGCAGAATTGGGAGAGCTGTGATGTTTGTTGATATTATGTCATCCTTTCCCTTTCATTAGTTCAGTCCCCCAAATCCACCACTGGTTCCAATCTCAAGGAGCTATGGAGTTCTCCAAACTGCCAGAACATCACCCAAAACGTCCAGCTCCTCATTTCAAAGACAGGAATCCATCACTCCTTAATAATAAAGCCAATGTTATGTCAATAAAATGCTAAATCTGCATGGGAAAAACCCAACAAGTCAGCAAGAAGGATACAGGGAATTCAAAGCCTGGAGTCATTCAGTGTACAGTACAAAGATATGTATTTTTGGTATTCATATTTATAAGGACAACATAATCCTACAAATTGAAAATAAATGTCAATGTGCACACATTGAGAAACAACGAGTGAGCTGCACTTTGGCCGACATTAGCTGAATGATACCAAGGCTTACTATGTAGTTAGTATCTTCATGTCAGCTACTTAAAGCGTTGCACCTTTCTTGGGTCTATGTGCTAACAGGAAAAGAAATGGTAATCTGCGACAGATAGCAGATGCCCTCCAGTGAACTCAAGGTACAGATCTGCCAAGTCAGCAGATGCCGTTCTTAGAGCTACTTTTCAGAGGGAAAACACACACATAGTTGCTCCTAATATAAGACAGTAGCATTAGAGATGATTTTGTGTTTTTTCAAAGCCTTTTGGAATCCCATCTTAATTTATAATGCACATTTTCCAAGCTTTCCGACTATTTTCATAACAACAAAATACTCTCTTCTTTAATAAGACTGTAATACTTACTATGTACTATAGCTTTCCTACCACTTGACAAACATGTATTTTTACAAGCCATAAACCCCACATAAATCAGTGACATGCACTACAGAGCTGGTGCAATGAATTGCATGCAGTATCAGGTAGGAAAGTTGTTTCTGTTACCTCTTTTTGCCCTACTGGAGGTGGTGGCTCAGCCTTCAACTGCTTATCCACGTGCAACTCACTTAACTCTTCACAAATCTCAGAGTTCTGACTCCGGACGCCTGGGCTTTGGCATCGCTGCCCCCTCAGTTGCAGCTGTTTTTCCTGCTGGAAATAATCCTAGATGGGTTTATTTTCTTTTTCTTTGATAGCATGCTTATTTTTTAAGGAGAGCTCCCCAGCTAGAAGAGAAAATAGCCTGGACTATACTTGTCAGGGGATGACTTCTTAAGGAAAATGGCAAGAACCAAGATAACACAAGCTTATGCTGTAACTTTTGAACTTCAGCAACCGGATATGTCAAGATATCCAGCTGTAGAAAACGGAAATACAAATAGGCCAACTTTTTTTGAACATTTTGTTGCTGGGGCAGGAGGAAATAGCCTTGTAATCTCCATTTTTAATCTGGTTTTGAGGCACAGGTTTCGCCCAGTGACCCAAGGCACACAGAAAGGTGCTTGCAGTTCAGCTGAACAACCGAGGGGTGTACTCTGAAGCCGCACGATGCTCGGCGTTACAGCTGGGGAAAGGCACGAGAGCAATACCCAGCGCTGCACTACGGACCTGCTTGAAACGGCGCGTAGAGAAACGTGCCCGGAGGAGACAAGATACACATTGAAGGGCAGGAAAACGCAATGCTCACAGGAAGAGATAAAAGGTGTCCAAAAGCAGCTGCGGAAAAACTACAGGTGAACACGTAAACGTATGCAGCTCCTGTTCAGCAAAACACTTAAGACTACTTTGCACTCGCTGATGCCAGCGGGACCTAACTGCAGGGTGGAAGGAGAGCACAGCCTTAAGTACTTCGCTGAAAAGGGGTGGACTCTGGAATCAGAACAGCAATTTTTTTCTGCAAACACGTCTGCCGAGACCCAGCGCTTGCCAGTACAAGCGGTGCCACTAAAACCAGCCACTTCTTCCTGGGGTGATGGCTGTTGCTGCTCAGCTCTCTGAAAGTACTCCCAGGAGTAATGGCAGAGGAGACTATGTTTGCAGGGTTGGTCCCTACCTCTGGAAGCCCAGGTTCTCTGCTGGTGTAAAACAGTGTGGCTTTATTGATTCACCTAAGGCAGACATTGAAAACTCCATAGCTCATCACAGCACTACCATCGTTCATGCCATTACTAACACTGCTACTAAAATATTAATAAAACTCTACCCGGTTTCAAAGAGTTGTGCTGAATTGCTTACAGAAGGACTTCCATGCTGAGAAAAAAATTACCGGCATAACAGGATTTCAACAGTAATTATTTAAACCTATTTATCTTTCACTTGTCCACCTTTTTTTTCCCTTGGCTTGACTGACATTCGATGTTATTCATGTATTAAGCAAGTTTCCCTTCCCCAGGGAGCCGCAGCCTACCTGCCTCAGTTCTAAAGCCATATCACCACAGGAAGTCCCTCAAGTGGTACCAGGAGCAGAAAAACACTTTATTCCAAATATAACTACCCGAAAGAACAGATGACACAAAGGAAGCAGTTGGTTAAGCAAATTGCTCTCCGTATAAATACTTTCGGACTGTCAGGTTTGTACCAGTCCTTTCAAACGTCGTTCTGTGTTTCTAGCAAATTAATTTAAAATCAAATTACTTGTTTCCTGCTTCAGAGGGCATGTGGTCTAAAATATATTCTAACTTTAATAAATGAAATGATGCATGTCCAAGCTTGTACCCTCTGCATAAGAATGTATCGCATACAATTTCTAGGCACAGTTTAGCACTGATCTTCACAAGCCATAGATTGCTCCATCATCATCGAGTTACAGTTCTGTCCCTGTCGAAAAGTAACGCACCTTAAGGCACACCTTTGGAAACAGTGTAGTATTCAGCGGAAAAGCTGACGGGCAAGGCATAGCATGCACGAGGCGCTCAGCCATAAAAGGTCTTTTTTTTTAATGCAACATGCATACAACTCAGTATCAAGTAATCTTAAGGGCATGATATTGGTTATAGCACCGAAACAAGAGAAACGATTGTTTCACGTTAAAAGTGCAACGCAATCTGAGGTGACGTCTCAAGTCCATTTATGCAAAAAGGTTGTGCACTCAGTCATTGGAAACTATGCAGTGTATGAGAACAGACTGTGTAACTCGGTTGATCTGACGAACATTCCAGCTGTTAAGCAAATTATTGCACTAAACTACAGTGAAATGCCAAACTTACACCAATTCTGTATTTATTTATACCACCCTCTGTGTGGTACCAAGACTTAGCAACGCTTCCATAGAGACTAAACCCCAGGAAACGTGGACCCGGCTACTTCCCAGAAGTCACACTTGTATCGAGTATCTGATGAATTAACGTTAATTAAAACTGATTAATTATATCCTGGCAAATTATCCAATAGGGACAACATGCGCATGTGCTCGGACTATGTTTTGGTTCATCACCGTGTGTTTTCAGACTTGTCCTGCAAATTTATAAGGTGTGAGAAAATCGCTAAGAGAAATAGACTCTTCAGAAGAATCTGGTTGTGTAGACTGATCCCAAAAGGAGCATTAGGGAATCAACCGAGGTTTTGCAAGCAATTGCTGTAAGTCCCCAGGAAGCCGCTCTCATGGGATGCAACAATCTCATTTCCAGCACGCAGCCCCTGAAGATCCACACAGACCTGTCTGGGGAAAGGTGCCCTTGGTTTATGTTGTTTAACTTTGGACTGTTTGCTTTTGTTCTCATTCCAGATGATTTGTTCTTCTGGCAGCCACGGCAGCAGGTTTATCTCCCGTAAAGCTCCCCACCGTGGGTGGTTTATATAATTTGTTTTTAATTTTCGTATCAAGTGCCGTGTTGCCAAGGCAATACACACTATGTTAATATTTATTGATTCAGTTGTTGTCATAATTTATAAAGTAAAATCATTCAGCAATATAAAAACTTTGTGCATGCAAACAAAGGGTCGGGAGCCCAGGATAGACCTCAGCTCCTTTACAGCATAAACCAAAGTTTTGCTCACCTCTGCTCTGCTCTGGGCCCTAAAAAGAGGTGACCTGCCAACCCTGTGCCAGTAATTAGCACATGGAGGAGGATGGACCCAGGGCTGTCCCCTTGCATGCTGCAGGTCAGTTGTAGCACCAGAAAAACAGCAACCAGATTGAAAATAGAGCATAATCTGGGTGACATCTCAAGTGTGTTTGTGCACAGACCCACATACTTGTTTGCTGACACAAATAAATACAAAGGCTCCACACTGCGTTCTGCCTCTGAAAAGCACAGATCGGCTAATTGTTTCAGGCTCAAATGGGGATTAGTGCAAATGCCGCTCCTTTGGAAAGAGGACTTGCTGTTGGCAAAACAAGACAAATACCTGTCATCAGCATGGATTCACTTTATTCCTTCCCCATGGAAATATCATTTTTTCCGTCCTCTGCAAACAAATTTAGAAAGAGGATCCCAGGGCCTGTCTTTTCGGATGGTGATCAGCTCAAATGGGTTCTCCTGATGCTTCACTCACTCCCTAGATCATGACCCTGGATTTCAACATTTGTTCCCTGATTCTTTTGCCATGGCTGTTGTGGGAAAGAAGATGTGCAAAGCCTTTGATAGCAGGAAGCTTCCTCTCCCAAGCAGGTGGGGAGGCAAAAAATGGGAGCTGGATCTGGAGCCCTCCCCTGTTGCGACTGTCGCTGCAGAGCCAGTGAGCAAGGATGAAGGATGTGGCAGGATAAAGTTGATTGAAGTTATTTTATGAGAAGAACATGGTATCCCCTGTCTCTGGTGAGACAATGCAAATGCAAACTGCCCTTTACTCAGTCCACCGTGCAATGGGAAGCTTCAACCCTGTGTGTCCTCTCTGATCCCCACCGGACTCATGCGTCCCTCTGTCTCTTTGAAGACCAGATTTGAGGCACTAATGGGATTTGAGGGATGTCCAGGTTCTGTGGTCACTTTCCAGGACCGAGCTGGTCAGCACATTTCCAGGTGCAGACTCAGCGCAGCGGAGGCTTGTCCTGGTCCCCCACATAGCAGTCTGCACACACTCGGCCATACGGGGGGACCCTGCTTTACCACCAGGCACTGCCCGTCAGAGGAGGCACCATCACCAAAGGGTGCTGGCAACAGAAATACCTCCGCTTTAGCCGTTCATAGATAATGGACACTATGAAGTTGAGCCTCCTCGAGAAACGCAGCTCAAGAGAGCAGCAATTGGTCCTTTAATAGATGACAACATATTTTAACCTGCAAAGCTTCCTATAGCCAGTTTTTGGATATGAAAACCATAAGAGGAGTCTGAGGAGCTTTTCATGCGTAGCAAACCCAGTTCAGCAGTGTGACACGCGTAGTTACGAGAGGACTGTTTACTCTGTAAAATAATTGTTGATGTTTGTGTTCCTCCTTGCAGACAGCTATGGATTTCATAAAATCACCGTGCCTGGTAGCAACTGGCATCCTTTCTCAGCAACAGTTTGCGTCTAGTAACTGGCAGCCTTCCTCTGCAAAGAAGCCAAGAAGTAAATGATCGTGAAAACTGAACCGTTTCTCTCCTACCTCTGCACAAGTGGGGAAGCAAGCAGGTCGCAGCGCTGCTGAAACGCGGCGAGCTTGCGTTACTGCCTGCGCGGCACCTCTTTCGTGTAAAGTGAACTGGAGGCTACAGTCTGCAGAGCTGTGGGGCTGACAACTCCCAGCTATGCTGAATTCAGTCTTTCTGAAAAGCCTTGAAAAATCTGAGCTAAAACAGGAGAGAAATAAATAACCACGAACCGGGGAAATGAATCGTGGGTTCTTACTACCAGAACAGACCATTTATGATCTTGGTTCTCCTCTTTCACAAGTAAATGTTAATCCTTGCAGCACCAATAAAATCAGTGGGTTTATCTTCCTGCACGTTTAGCAGGAGAAGAAAAATCACCAAACACATCAAGAAAATCCCCTTGCTTCCTCAGCACGAGAAAGGGAAGATTAATATCACTCATTCTGATGGAATAAAAGAGGGCTGGTGTGCAGCTGTCAATTTTAAGTGTGCACATTTGAGAATCTCTCTAACCCATTTTGAAAAATTGCTTCTGTAAAGCAGAGCTGCTGCTTGTTGGTTTAATGAGAAATCAGAGGAAAACCTAGAGCGATACCACACCACAGTGCTAGGACTGTAGCTAAGACACAGAAGGGACCCTTGCTATACCA